CTCTCTCTCTCTCTCTCTCTCTCTCTCTCTCTCTCTCTCTCTCTCTCTCTCTCTCTCTCTCTCGACACTCTCTCTACTCAGTTTGCTGGTTCAATGCTCTGCTAAAACGCAAACGTGAGTTGAATTTGTTTGAACTAAAGAACCTTTCCGCTTCCTTTGAAAACATTCACCCAAAATGAAAGAGTGCAGTGTGTTGAGCATTTATCAGTAACGATCAGCCGAGATAAACTTTAATGCATTAAAACTATTGATATTATCCTTGAGTCAACAAGTTCTTCAGTATCTGCTTATCACGTGATCTGCCCTCATTTTAAGTCAAATCCCCGTGATAAACCCACACCATAACCTCACACGACGCCGAGTCAAAGGTTCACTTGTTAATGACCAGGTAAGCACCTTTGAGCTACTTTAACTATCTCAGCGTTTTTTCAGTGAATTCTAATTCATGTTTAAAGATGTAAGTGTTGTTTATGTTGTGACTTACGTTCGCTTGGTTATGGCTGGATGTTTGGGTCAGCAGGTAAGCTATACCAACGCGATGCCTTCTTGAATTTAAGCTTCTTCAGTTCTTGTTTTAAACTGCTCCATGTTGTTTCATATTAAGCTCTCATTCTGACGAAATCTCTATGCTCAAGTTAGACTTGGTACCACACTGAGCTGGTATATTTTGAGGCTTTCGTCTAGCGCAAAACCGCTGAAACCTAATTGCGCGGGCATAAACAAAGAAGCATCAGTAAACAATATACCAGAGATAATTGAATTGGAAAATATTGAAGTTCAAGCGAGTAATGAAGACATTATCCCAGGGATTCTCTTACTTTAGGGCTTTTGATGGTTTAAACATATGGCGGCCATAGGTTGTAATAAGGTCATTAAAAGCTTCCCTCAACTCCGTCACAAAGTATGTAATACTATTATCAGCTATGAGGGTTGAATCCGATACTCGTCCGGATGACCTTAATGATAACCTTTTAGTGATTTCTTTTAGCTTGTGATAGCGTTTGTAGATACTATTGTTCTTTGAAAGATATCATTAAAAACAGATCCATTTTGGTTGACGCTAATTAAAATCAAACTCGTCAATAAGATGACATCTTATTTACATCTGTGGCTTTTCTTGCAACACGATTCGTCAACATCCCTTCCACCACTTTGGAAATCCTAAAATACCTTTATAGCATTACAAAAATGAAACGCAATTCACCTTATTGTAAATTGTCAGTGATTATAGGGTCATGATCAGACCTTGTCGCCGTTCGTGAAAACAAATCTTTCCTTTTCACTGATGAGTGGATCTGTGTTTAGTCTGTACGATGATTGCCAACTTGACTTCTGATCTGATTTTATCACTTCTTTGTCTATTGGATATCGCTTTACATAAATCCAAATTAACGTTACTTATTAAGCTTTTAAGTGAGTACATAATTACAATGTGAACTGCACACCAGTTAAAAGTTTCCGAAAGGACGGAATGTGGACTTAAATGTTCTTTTAATTACATTAGTTCCCTAATAGTTTCATAATACTATTTGTTTAAAACTGTTTAATCAAAATGGGCTGTAAAAACCTTTGCTATGGGCAAACAAAACACACCATTTGCTTAGATGTCGACCCTTGGCACGTGTGGTGGTCAAGTATACTTGAGGGTAGTATTCGGACATTTGCTTGCTTTTGGGACTCAGTTTGACATATTATTTTTTTATCGCCGATAAAATATTCTTTTTCCCTGGCTGCAGTTTTAGAGAAGTCTCACACCTAAAGAAAATATATACCAAGGGATATGAATCAGTACAGGAGTCATTCAACATGAACTTTTGTTCAGTTGAACTACTGTCATGTGATGAGTGAATCCAGAGATTTCAGTTCTAATCATTGCTAGGTGTGTTAAGACGCTAGAAATAGTGAATGCGTGCTTTTATTGGAATATAAAATGACGCTTGGAAAAAAAAAAATTAGTGTAAATATAATTCACATGGTATAAGTGCATGTCTAAAAATAGACGTTTCGGGACGTGTTTCTCTTCATCAGTGTTGAAGCCTTATCTGCGCGAGCAGATGCTGGTTGTGCGCACTATCATAACGTATTGGCCAGGGCGCCCTTGTATTGTCAACGTTATGGACGCTTGGTAATTATGTAACTCGTTTGAATGACCATTGGATGGGATTGAATGGAAGTAAAAAGAAATGAATGGGAGGGTTGATAATATCATTGTGTAATCAAAATCAATACATACAAACATGTTGCTTCAGACATCAAAGCGAGGCGAGTGGGTCATTTGGATCCATTTGCCTCATTTGATAATGAATTTCAAATGCAGAAGCAGCAATGTCTGCCCCTTTATCGGCAGAGGTAACTGTAGAGCAACTGCGCGGTAGTAGGTTGTATCTGCATATAGTATTGTTAAGAAGATCAGTATAAATGGTTTTTCCTTTTTGCTTGAATTAGTTGATTTATCAATCTGTGAAGTTCAAATAGTAGAGCATTTGTCAGCTCTTCCGAATTACCATCTCTACAAGATGGTCATGGTCAACATTGAATGAATGATTAAATAAAACATCCATACCATTGACAAGGGCCTGTCTTCTGCAACAGGTATCCCAGACAACTTATCAAGACAAATGTACAATATTTACAATAACTGAATCAGTTGCGTCCATCTTCATTACATTGTAGTCTCAAAAAATCTCTCATTAAAAATCAATTCACTTGTCATGAATATGTCAACAATTTCAAGATCAATGTAATCAAATATTATTAATTCATCAATTGCTTATATCTCTTGGGGTTAAGATTCTGGTATCGAAAAAAAAACACTTTTATCTTAGATGGATTTTCTGACAATAGAGTAGTTAGAAAATAGTCTTCTTGCGAAAAAGAGCTGAAGATGGCTTTGGACAACACATGGAGTCGGCAAGTAATCCCTGTGTGTCATCCGCAATGAGAGATTTAATCACTTTTAATCCTGTCTTGATTCTATCGCTTCACTATAAAAATAATTGACTCCAAGTTAGTTATTTTGATTCATAGACACTGAAGCGTAGATAGCCCAGTTACCCAATTAAAAAGAAAATAATCCAGCCATGCAAAACAAGAGGTTCTGACTGACTAAAAGATTTGACAGATGGTTGATCAGGAAGGAAGCAAAGAATGGTTAAAGGATTGGAAAGACCGTTTAGTCTCAGGGCTTATAAAGTAATTATGCTCAATCAGAATAGCTCAATGGATTTTTAAGACAGTACTTTTTGGTCAGAACCCGCACCAGCTCAATATATAAGTGTTCTTAATCCTCGAAAACTATATAGCAGTTGACAGACCAAATGACAACCTTGAGTGCTCCAGGGAAACGTAGAGCAAACGTCGGAAGGATGGAAACCTAAACGCATACAATTCCTAAAGAAATTTCTTTATATATTTGTATATATGTCACGTCTACCGTTAGCACCAAATTAAGCATGAGAAATAATCACATCCTTTATAACTTCTTAAAAATCTATTTTCCTGGGTGTTTAGTTTTTCTCCGGGGAGGCCAGGAGAAGTGAAGTCAAGACAACATATATAGATCATTTATTTGATGTCTAAAATATTCGTGCTCATTGGCGTACGTGTGGTGGTAATACAGACGCCCCTCCTCTAGCGTTTAGCTACTGATGTGCTGTTTACACGGCTTGTCTAAGATTACGCGCACTGTCAAGACCGATTAATAACCAAAAGAAGATGGATCAATTGGGATGAAAAGGCCATAGTCTAAAGCTTATGATTRTCGTGCTCCAGATCATATGTTTCCACGAAGATAATCACTGGTTCTAAAGGAACGCTGAGCTGGGCTCATTCATCCGACTTACATCTGAGACCTGAAGTTAATCTTTTTTTATTGGTTTCTAATAACTATTGTCTCGGTACTTTAGATACTTCACGTTTTAATCACAGTCGTCTTGTTCAAAATTTCAGTTGCTGCTGTTGGCTTGGGTTGGTTTGTGTCAGTGTTTTCTCTAAGTTTTTTCACCGATAACTCTCAATACTGCAAGTAAGTATATTTTGACCTTTTCATTCGTTTGTTTTTTAACTTTTTTTTCCAGATTCAAGAAAATTGAATTAACGCAGCCTAAACCTTTTTAAAAATCTGATATTATCTCTTAGTTTTATTCGAGAAAAAAATGAATCCATATATACCTTAAGTACCGAAGATCTTTTTTTTTTCTCGGGGATAAACATGCACTTTAAACTTGACAGAGGTTGCGGTTTAAAATGCGATAATTATGACATCAAAATACCACAGTTCAAAATCCTTTCTTTTCGCAACATTTGCGGCAAAGTACAAAATGTTCATTATTGAACAAAACTTTGGAGGTTTTTAGATCAATTATAAGACTGGTTTTGATCGACTCTCCTCATAGAAAGTATAGCTGATATTACATTATAAAGACATGTCTCTTTTCCATCGAGTAGGATTTTTCATCCTTATCTAAAAGAGGTAGAGAGAGGCGTTGTAAAGAAAGGTTTGCAAGTCTCGAACATACTCGAGAATTATACAGAACTAGATATCTTAGTTTCTGTTTTACCCTGTAGTCACAAGAACCACATGTTGTCTTTCTTGGGGTGACCAGAGAGTTATGATCAAGCATAACAATCCTGAAGTTAACATTTGCATGTAGTTGTTCTAACACTCTTAGGCGTGGCGAACTTCGCCATATGCGAGTCCTCTTTTATGACACAATAGTTTTGCATTGGATTCAGAGACATGCATGTGGCGTGATTAAATATTTTGGTGCATGGTTGCGAAATATCTTAAAGCCGTTAGAACTAATACCTTCAAAAAGAAGATATCTAGCAAGTGATACATAAGAGACAACCATTTTACACAACTATACTCAGTGATTTTGAGTCAGTTATTTGGTACACATTTAGTCTGCTTTATATATATCATTACATGAACAAACAAATCAATAACAAATATCCTAAGAATTTTCCAGTAAATGAAAACCACTGGTCTTGCTTTTCAGCCCATATGTATCCTCCTGGAAAGCACATTTATTCTTCTCTCTGAGTTCAAGTGATCATCATTTTAACATGCTATAAGTTTTGTTCTCTATTGAAAGGTGCCATAGTAGTAGCATAGTAGTGTATCTAGATGGTTGGAAAAACCTTTGTTCGCCTCTAGAGATGTGAAACTAAGTAGGGACATGTTCACTAGCTGTGTTCCTTTGAGAAGAATCACTAGCAATCTTTGAAATAGTTATTTCCGCTGCAAAACATTTCACAAAGTATTATACAGGTTGACTCGAAACAAAACTATTTACAGTTGGTCAAAAGATTATACTTTACAACACCAAGGTGTAAAACCCCTGTTGGTCTCCTGATGAAGGAAATCGCTTTATGAAGTTCACACCACCAAGATAAATATTTGTAAACCAAGAACCAGAACATTCCTTTCCTTTGAGAAAATTGTTGGGGCTTCTTAAAAATACGAAAGAGGGTTTTTAGGCAATTATCGTTCAAAAACAACTTGATGTTATGAAATCAAGTGATCAAAGCAATTGATAAAGTGGTTAGGAATAAAAGAGAATAAGATATCCAACAAAATGGGTTTCTGGAGAAGATGTTGTGGTTTTCGCTAGTTGCCCGTGTGATCTCTAAACACCTTGAAAACTAACACTCCCAAACACCCTGGATAATAGGATAGAATACTAAGACCACAATGCCACAGTGTGGTATTTATTATTGAGTAAATCCTGGACCATGCTGTTCTGCTCATCATAGTCAAAAGTTTGCTCGACGGGTGTGGAGCAGGGCATAACCTTCTAGCTAAACATCTACGATTTCTGTGTCTGTGGTAACATCCAGCCTCTATTAGAGAAAGGGACTCATCTTGGAAGACAACTGAGCAAGTTGGTCGCGTAGGATTTCCAAATTGTTAAAGGTATCAAAACAGTTCTATTCCTTGCAAATTCCCTCTTTACCGAAGCAAAAAGACAACGAAGATCTCATATACGTACAGTGTTTAGGCTCTCTGGCCTCAGTCTTCCTTCTAATACACTCACTGCCTGACTAGAGGTCCTCGTGCTACTCAAGTTTTAGAAAATAAGCGCACGAATAGTAAGATATTATGTATTTCGGCAACGTATTCATTAGTTAATCTTGTTCCTTTGAGTACGTGGTACAGCCTATGCTATTCCTATTTCATCTACTTACTTACAATGTAGAATACTATACGTTTATATATATATGGTTATAATTAAACATGTTGAGGCCGTTTTAAGTTACTTTCTTATATAAACACCGAATTTTCTAAGCGTTTTTCTCCAGAGTATTATTAAGCCCGGGTATTAATAAGCAACCCTAAAAAATTTTTGATGATGATAATACTGCAGTAATTACAAATAAACTTTTGGTCAGATTGCTCTCAGAAATCGTATCAAAAGCCTTCGTTTTTTGTAAAAGGTTAATATACCAAACATCGAGTGTGTTTTCTCAGTCGCAAGGCTGGGGGTTATTCTGTTTCCTTTATACTGGGATAATCTCATTTAAGTGTTTTGCTGAAATTATCGGATCAAACATTTTCCCGCATAAGGCTATAACTAAACATCAAACCCGCAGTGCTTCCAGTCAGCACTATTGTCCCTCGTCTGCGAGAAAAACACGGTCAAATTTGGCGATTTTAGTTTTCAAAGACAACGTATAGTTGTCTTATAGTTTTTATAGCTTTCGCCAAGCCAGTCTGGAGCTCATTTAATCCCTTAAGGACCATTTTAGTGGAAATTTAAAGTCAAGTGGCAAGATTTATTGCTTGCTCAATTTTATTTTACTCCAATGAGCTAATGACTACTCTATTGACTACAGCCATACAGCTAAGTTTTATTGTCTTTTGGCATAGTGTCATGAATCATCAGCAACTTTGAGTGCACTCGCGGACAGACTTACTCTATTTTTGAAACTCATTTAAGAACCATTACTTCAAGATAATCCGCTTCTGTAATAATTATCTAAGTGATAAGATACGGCAGAGGGAATACGAACTATTTAGATTGGCGTAACTGATTCAGTAGAGAATGAAAAGAAAAGATAACTAGCTAAAAACTAGTGTGAACTGCGTCGATGTTTCTAAGGAAACAGTAATGATAAAAGGGTAAATTATACACCACGAAAAGATGAAAAAACTTACTGACGTTTCGGACTGAAAATAGTAGACTATATTTGCCTTATTCCTATCATGAGAATGATTCTCATTTTAAGTCTGAGAGGCTTAGTTTAGACCTAAGATTTGATCAAAGAACCAAACTACAAAAGGGCGAAATCGGTTTTGCTTTGGAAGTTTAAAAGTTCGTTTGAGGAAGTGGTTAGTTCATGAAATCTTAGGCTATAGTCGTTTCTACGCCGCAGTTGATCAGTTGGGGTGAAGTAGACCAAGAATCCCAGAAAAAAAAAAATTAACCTGCTAGCTATTCATTACAAAACTATTTTTGGTTTATGCGGCGAGATTCGATGCATCCATAAGGTAAAGTATCTCGATTTGTATCTCACACCACACGATAAGATCTCTCTAATTAATTGTTAGTTTAGAGATCAATGGAACTTTAGGTGGGGTATACTTGGCTCTAATTAAGTTACGATCAATCAGTTTGACAGTTTACTATCGTCCGCAAACACCGGCTCTAAGGAGGGGACTGAGAATTAACACTTTGATCAGCTCCGTCTGGAGATATTTCAATAGCATTGAGGATTCAAGTCACAAAAGATTAACCAAAGGTGCGGGATTCTTGGGAAATTTACTTTACTCCCGCAGCGATGAAACGACAAAAAACTGAAGTGTTAACGCGTTGTTAATCCATTAACATCGATTAAGACGCCAAAAATACACAGCAATTCATCAACATTTTGAAAACAAAAAGGAATAGTTATCTTAAGTTTTTGTTTCTTCACCTATGAAGCTGTTCCCAATAATTTTTGGAAGCGGATCTTTAAGGAAAAAAACTTATTTTTGTTCTCTCTTGAGAGTCGTTTATTTGAATTAAAGATCAGGAATTGAATTCCGATCTAAATCTGCATAGCACCTTACTGATACCAAGGTGGTTCCCTTTTATTATAAGAGTTATAATAGTATTTCTTTATTCAGTATTTTGGGATTTTCAGTGGTTGTTATGAGGTTTACAAGTGTCATCTAAGATGCCGCCAGACCACCATACTTTACCTCGTCTTGTGGCAGAGTCTATCGGATTTTAATATCGATCAAAATGATAGACAAAAGGAACAAAAGCGCCTTTAATTGTATCAAAAAATACTTATTTAAGTATAAGACCCAACAAGCTCCCCATGTTGCGAAGAAAACGAGTCCTTGAGAAGCCAAGCGATTTGAACTGCAACGTTTATAGACGTTTAGAAGGTCAATAGATACTTGGAAGAGACTAAGGGGGTATCTTGGCTCCCTGTCTCTTGAGGGTTAAATGGTTTGTTTTGATGATAGAAATAAGTGGCCAATCGTTAACGTCAGGTCTAGTAAAACATGGCGAAAAATTTATTTAAAATAACAATCCTGCTTCTCCAGGCACTGATATATCATCACAAAGCATGCACAGCATTTATAAGTCTTCTTCATTGAATTTCTCATAGAACCTGAGGATAATTGATAAGATTTTGCTACTCATTTATTTCCTTTCATTTTCCATGATATTCTTTTGCTGAGTCGTTTTTTAATTTATTTTTTGACAGCTGTGAAGTTTGATTCCACAAGGCATAAGCATTACCCTGAAGACTTCAGTGTACGAAAGATGGCGGACAAGACGAAGCCTGCATCGACAAATTCATTGTCATTTACAATTGATAGCATCCTAAGTAGCGAATCAAAATCCTCATCTCCACCTCAAGATGTTCCAGGGAACGCACATGTATCGAATGGGGCTCTGACGCTTGCAGAGAGATTGGCAGGTAAGGCAGCTCACGAAGACGTAGACGTTTTTACAGTGTTTTGCAATATGATAAGAGAGAATATCATGGACTGAAAGAGGTCCAATTCTTTTATGATTAGCAGCAATATTGCATTTTTTTTTTTTTTTTTCTCTCGATAATATTTTACTTCTGGTAAGAAAGTGTAAACATTCCGGCTCTTTGTACGCAACGTGATAATAAACTCCATTCTTCGGCTTTCCCTTATACCCAAGTCAAAAGTGTACCGAGTTGGTAGCACGATAAGAGCAAAGAGAAAAAAGAGAAAGGAAGCTGAACATTATTGCCAGCAATTCTAACCAGAAATTCGTTTGCTGAAGACATCTAATTGCTGTCTGAAGAAGCTTGTTCTGGTCCAAATAATTTGTACAAATGTTACACAAGGAAACCTAGGTTGAAAATAAAACTTTATCGGTTATGTGGTTGTCGCATTCTTCCAAAGGACAATGTTCTATCGTTCTAATACCTTATTCTATTCATAATAACCAACATATTATCACACACAATGAGAGACCTAAATCAAGCTTTGCGAATCTTTGTTTGTCAGACATCATCCTTGAGGTGCACTATGGATCCGCACGTGGTAAACAGAGACGCACGCGCACAGCTTTTACCCATCATCAGCTGCAGATCCTGGAGAACACGTTCACTAAGACTCATTATCCTGATATAGTCATGCGAGAAAGACTGGCGGCCTTCACACATCTGCCTGAGGCACGCATACAGGTAATGTTTGACATTGCATTGAAGAATATATGGTGCATGGTGACAATGTCTCTTCTCTACTTACAATGAAACCTCGCGTGCTAATTCATTCATTATGAAAGCACACCTCTCGACTTAGAGTGTATGGTACATGATGATATTCCTTTGAAAATTCTATCATTTATACCAAAGACCTCTCGCGTCTATGGTAGCACGTCTTTCAACATAGTAGCCATTCTTGGCCTTTAGTCAGTACATAATATCATGCAGAGTTTTACTAGAGACAGTTTTGCTATATTTGTGGTATGTTTGACCCGCATAATGTGATTAGTTTTGTGAGCAATACAATTGGAATATAGTCATCATGATATTGGTACAATGTGTTCGTTAGAGGTTGACGGGAGCTCTGAATATCTTATCACCAACAACATCATACATCATGGTTTATCTTCTATCTCGTTCATATCTCACCGCGTATTCTATGGCTGTTACTCATGGTTGTTTTTATCTCTGTTTTACTGAAAGGTGTGGTTCAAAAACCGTAGAGCAAAGTACAGAAAACAGGAAAAAGAAACCCGCAAAACAAGAAAAWCGATGAAAAAATCGAGCGCCAAAATTCAGGAGCCTGGTGATAAACCTAACAGTAAATCCGCTGACCAGATAAAGGGAGCCCAGCCTTTACCTCCAAGTATAGTGTTTCCTTCAGCGTCGAGTGAATCAGCCACCCACTCAAGACAAGAATCGAACTATAAGGATACTACTAGTGAAACAATGACAAGTAGTCCGGGTGTTAAACCTCTGCCATCCATTACTCTACCTTCACTTCCTGGTAGCGAGATGATGTGTTTTTGTGCGTGCGGTGTAAACTCAAAGGACAGTGCACATGCGCACTTGGGTCAGGAGGTTTCTTGCATCGATACAGAAAAGGGAATTCATGAATCAAGAAATATTTTAAATGGACAGAAATGGCCAGTCTTGCCATTTTCCTCGAGTGTTGACTTATGGCGGTTAAAAGCAGCCATGGATGCCGAATATCTGTGCGCGAATGATGCTCGGTTTTTTACATATTAAAAACTAAATATATACTAGTGAGATAATATTAATAAGTAATAATAATAGAAAAAATGGTAGTTTACCTTGCTAATCTTAGGAGACTGACGGGCGTATGTATAAGCACTGTTATCTTCCGATAAAATTATCTATAAAATTATAACGAAACACAGTCAATCCTAAAAATTAAAAGGGGAACTCATTTTTTCTTTGGATTATCTGTTTCATTTATACGTATATAAAACTCAGCTTAATCCAAAAGAATAAACTTCACAGATAGAAAGAGAGATAAAGACAAATTCAAATCCATGTAAGCGGACGATTATTAGCTGTAGAAAATGGGCGTTTGCGCAAATAGGTATCGGGACAAACATTGGAAGGCATCAGGTAGAAGGGAGACAATTATTTATACAACCCCCACCCCCTGAAATATTAAACGTTTAGGTTTAAACGAATTAATAGGTTTCATTTGCTACATTTAAAATTCAAATTATAGATTATGTAAACTATGTTTCATCATTGGAAGATAAAACAAGTCATTTAGATATTTACAGCCTGCCATGGCAATTCGACTAGATTTTTTTGTGTATCGATTCTTATATTTAATAAAAAATTATATAACTTACGTCAAGTCTACAGAATTGTCCACATTTTCTTTGGTTGCCCTATCATCTCAACTGTTCTAGCAACTGATTGTGACATCGGCTTTTGTACTGACGACATTTTACACCAACTTCTTTTTTCTCCTATTGAATATAATGAGTTGGAAGTCAGGGTACTGATTAAAGTAACTTGTGCTAGGAGATAGCAGAGCACTCGTTTCTTTTGCCAAATTGATCAGGGGGAAATGCTTAAGAGTTTTAAACTTCTTTATAAAATAACTGTTATAAATCCCGCATTCTGATTGATTGGGAGCACGTGGGTTATGATAGCACACAGCACCCGCGCGCCCTTTGCATTTTATAAAAGAAATAAAAAATTTGCTTGCTGTGCTGTGTAGAGTTATAAAGCACTTCGGGATTGGCAGAACACTCGAGAAGTGTCCGCTAGGCGTCGTGCTTCTCCTAACACTTCTCTTGTGTTCTGCCTATCCCCGCGTGCTTTATAACTGCACACAGCACGCGCGCGCGTTTTCTATTTCTTCACTAGTAAAGCAACTGTAAACAAAAAATGATATTCAAGCGAAGGGTATATTACCAGACCTCCTCGGCTCGGGCGCAATGTTTCCCCATTTCAAATCACGTGTCATTTCCTTGAGAATAAGATTCTTTGTTGGTTATATCCATATTCACGTGTCATCTTATGTGCAACCAATAAATAAAGAAATGATACTCCAGGGAATGACACGTGGTCTGAAATGGGAAAACAGTACGCCGGAGCCGAGTAGATCTATTACGAACACGTGGCAGGATCAGGGAAAAAAACTTAAATATTTATCGAACCCTGATACGACCGTAGCCTCCTCCGCAGGCGTCTTTCGTTTCTTTTTTGTTGAATTGGGATTCCTGTGTCGCGAATTGGGATTCCTGTCGAAAGAGACTAGGCGCTAATCAGTCCCCCTCATCTTAAAGACACAGGAAGCCTAATACTCAAAAGGAGAGAGGAGACAAGAGAGATGCATGCGGAGGAGGCTAATACGACCGCACTCACGATGAAATAATAATMATCAATAAGAAATATCAGTTACTAAATATTTATTCTCGCAGGAACCGGAAAGATTTTTATACAATACACTTACTGCGCATGGGCAGGAATAAGTTCATTGAGAAGGCAATATACTCACGTACACTCAAGGAAATGCTACAAGATGGCGGCGAACCGGAAATAACTGGGCACTAATACCCGTGGAATCTTAGTCGCGAGGAAACGATAATCCGTTAACAACACACCACAAGAGTTAAGAATATATCAGAACAGATTAGTGCTATCTCTTCCTGTCCTATTTTCCAAGAAACTTGGTTGTTATATGAAACGTTTTGACCTGCTAAAAGACCTAACAAATGTGCTAATCTCAGAACTGAACCGAGTCTAAAAATAGACGATTACGTAACATGATATGAAATAAGCGAGTATGTGCCTGCTACTCTATCTGGTTGTCCGGTTGTGTGATTATTTTTAAATGTATTGCACTACATGCAATTTTTTAAGGACAAAGATAATAATTGTTTGGTTACGTATTCAATTCGAGTGTAAGGCCTCGCCTAAGAGGGGTGGGCTTGGGTATCTAGTTTTTCTTCACAGTTCCAGGTAAATTATAAAAAAGAGTTATAATAGTACTAGTTCGTTCATGATAGACCTTTTTACCGATACGGTAACCATCTTGGATTATATTGTTTTGATTAAGACAGTATGGAATGGCAAGGGGGCTACTTTTAGACTACATACATAGTTAGGGTGTCCTTTTATATAACTTTACGGTTTTCAATGAGAAGCACATCTAAAAGCAATTGAATTTGCTGGTAGTTGAAATTAAATACATACCCCAATGCCACCCACTCTACGCTATATAAATGTCGTACGTTTGCCCCCTCGGCATTCCATAATTCAAGATGGCCGCCGTATCAGTGAAAAGGTCTCAGATTCAACGGCTGCTGGTCGATTACCAATGGCCAAGCCAAAAGCACCCACTCATCTCCTCCACCCCACCCCCTCTCGTAATCAGGTAATGCCGGGAGGAAAATTTTAGATTTATTTGAACGGGAGGGGTGTTGCTGTAAAACAAGAGATAAATAAAATACTGTGTTCGAGTCCAAGATCTCACGAATCACTAGCTTCGTTCCCCCCTTCTCCCTGCATAAAAGATCGTTTTATATATAGCTCTGGCATCACCCCAGGTCCTTAGCACTTTGACAAATACTTAGTATTCTCAGTTGTATTTCTATCTTCGAGTCCAAGATCTCACGTCGTCACGTCGTTGAATCACTAGCTTCGTTCTCCTTCGTTCTCCCCTTCTCCCTGCATAAAAGATTGTTTTATATATAGCTCTGGCATCACCCCAGGTCCTCAGCACTTTGACAAATACTTAGTATTCTCAGTTGTATTTCTATCTTCGAGTCCAAGATCTCACGTCGTTGAATCACTAGCTTCGTAGGTGATGAGATGAAATAAAAAGGTACGTCGTGAATAAGGAGTTTATCATCAATGACGTTAATCCTTTCCAATGCACAAACAAGTATTAAAGGATTGATCCGTAAACTTGACCTGTGTGTTTTTACACGGCTAATCCCTTAACCATGGGAATAAATATCACACCAAAATAATCCTTGAGGGTCAGTGATGTTTAAATCAATACGCAGTTTCTTTCGTAATTTTATCACGCCTTTAAATGTTTTCTTTCTGTAACTTTTGGCTACAACTGGCTACGTATTGGTACGTGATGGAGATGTTTCGAATCTGTGAGACGGTTTGATCGTGGCATTGTTATTGTTAGTTATAGGCATTAGACACGTTTATAAACTGCCTAACATGTTAAAAGTGTTAAAATAGAAAGGAATGGGAATATATGTGGTGTGCATGCACTTAACCAAGACAAAGCAATCCTCAATGGCTCAATGTAGATCCGAAAATAGTTTTCCCACGAACTGTTTACAGATAAAGGAATCATTTCCACACGGAACTGGCTTAGTAATGAGATTTGCATGTTAGTTTATTTTAATAACTAATGATAAATAATACTTGACTCGCTTTCTAATCAGATTAGTTCTGTGCGCAATGAATTAAATACGCTTATCGTAAAATTTATTTGATATATTTCTTAAATAAAAGTTCAAATTCGCAAGATATCTTAAATGGTAGCTTATGAAGATAGAGAGGATACTACGTCCATGTGCATGACTGGGTAATAGTTGTTTTTGCAGAAAAACTATCAGTTGGCTAGTACTTGTTTGAATCACGAGCTCCTGTACGGTCAAGAAGCTGTTGAGAGACGTTAATCCTCGAATTTTTCAGTGATCTTATAACTGCCCCGTTTAATGACCCCAGTCACATTCGAAAATGTACTAATTTCACGGAAAAATACCTTATTTTTTCACTTATATACACTTTTTTTCGGAAAACCTTCCCGTCAACATTCCTTTGAATGATTAATGTCTTCCGGTAAAGGTGATCTGCTATTCTGGACGAACCCAGCAAGAGCTGACAAGAGATGATTTATGGAATGATTTATGACCTCGGATTATGCGTAATTCTATTACCAGATCTATGTGAAGTATGCCATGCCGGATCATGATTAGTAGCGGACGGATTAGTGAGGGCCATGGTTCCTATCGGGTCGAGTCAAATTGAGTGTTTAACTAATTCCATAATCCTTGTTCTAATAAACCACTTTAAACCCTAAAGAAAGAAGAACACCTAGAAAGACTCTTCACTTGCTAAGTCCAAACTCACTAGGTGATCGATAGCCAGTGAGAAATCAAAAAAAAGAGAGATATATCTAGGTTTTCGTCCAGTGTTCTAGATTCTTGCCATTTTAAAAACAGTTTACAATCTTTCCTTCGGAACTTCTTTTTTTGTATCTGTAAACTGTCGTGGTTACGCAAGAATGGCTGACACTTCAAAAGATTTCAAAAACACAAGTGGTTTTCCGCCAACATGCCACAGGTTTGTCCACTACTGACACTAATTAATTCTTCCTACACCAAAATATGCCAAAAACTAAGCTGAAAAGACTTAAATCAAGGAGATATCATTCTCTGATACATATTTATCTAGCCATTGAGTTCAAGTGCACAATAAGAGAACTTCCAAAACATCCTTCGTGGGCTGTCAAGTCACGGTTTTATGGGCTTTCGCAATGATTTTATGGGAGTTTAAATTGTTTTCTTGGAGTTGAGCAAGTTACGTAGAAGCACCTCTTTTGTCCTTTGTCTGACTGACGGTTTAATTGATCTCACAGACAACACATGACTTCTTCATTTATCTTTTATCAACCATTAGTTAACTATTTCCGACAAGTCCATCTCGGTTCAAACGAGATCACTCGCGATGATGCTCATGTGTCTACCTGTGTTACCTTGAAACAAAACAGAGAAGTACCGAGAAGTAAATTTATGTACAATGTACAAGAACGATGTGTGGCGATCTCTACACGTTCAAACCATTGTTGGTTTAAAGATTATAATGCCATCAATCAATGTCATTGTGGGTATTTTTTTACTTTACACCAAGCCGGTTCTAAGCTTACGAACAATTTCATGCAAACATAACTTTAATCCGGGTTGAGCGATGAAAAACTTCGACAAAGACTGACTTGTGTTGCTTTGACCTGAAAAATGTTTAGTTGATGTTGAATGTAAAAAGAACGAAACCCTTGGGTCCAGCTGTTAATTGCTGTGGCTCAACTATAAGGGCACAAGTCCCCTGCTGTTAGCTCGTCACGAATGGGAACCATACTTCTGTCTTCACTTCTTATTAAAGAAAGTTGTGGGGGCCGTTATTTTAGTTTGCAGAGGATTCCCTATGTGGTTAGCGTCGTACGCTTCCTCAGAACGAACGTCAAGCAGCTTTACGGCCTCATCCACCCTCCAAAGTCAACTCGAACATTTTGTTCCATTTCCTGAGTTTTCCTACATCCCGAAAAAGGTATTGTAAGAAGTTTGGTATTTTTTCGTACGTGTTCCACAGTTTACGTGGGCGGGCTCCGGTGTTGGCAAACGCAAGACCAATAAATCATGCAAGTAGGACTAAAATGTCAAAAAGCGACGCGATTTTGCAATTGTGTGAACGTGTTTAGTGTTATGTCAATCGGTATTGACTGCGAAGGAACCACATATCATGACTGAGATCACAACCAAAACGCACCCCCAAACAAAGATAAAAATCCGCAGACTTAACAAGAGTTAGAAGATCATGAGTTTATAGAGGTGTCTGGCAAACCCATTCAAGAATTTGCAAAGAGAGCTCAATGAGTTCATTGGCATGTGTTAATCTAATGTACACTCAACAGCTTAGACAGTAGGATTTCAAGAGGTTTGTGTTAGCATAATTAGAAAGCACTTGAAGCTGACTATCCTGTACTTCCTGACGGGCTTTCAAACAACTAAATGTCATGTACCGACTCTCTTAACAGTGATAAATTAGAGTAATTCCAGTCTGCCCCGCGAACGGATAGGCCCCACCAAAGGTCACTCATCGTATAGCATTGCGATTCCATTACACAGGAAAAAATAAGAAAAGATGAGTGGCAAAAGGTCTTCGTTTAGTATCGATACACTTCTACAGTTAAAGACGCCCGAGTCTGGTCAATCCACTTCTGGTGCAACTGAGACTAGAGAACTCGAGACAAATAAACCCGTCGCGATGTCCTTAGCGGAACGGCTTGCAGGTTAGTACGATATCGTTCATTTGCCTTTTCATTTTAATTAAAAAAAGGCCAATAACATCAGAGTTCAACCTTAATTTTTCTTAATGCCCTATGAATGAGGTTAGAGTCTATCATGACCCGTGACTCCCAACACAATCGCTCACCCTAGCAGCTTTACAAAGCACTGCTTGTTGTCAATTGCATGTCTTGGCCGTAAGACCTCTGGAATGACCTCTGGGCGTTCAGTTCTAAAAGATACGCCACAACGTTGTCTAATCGATCCATATAAAGGCATATTAGCTAGTTGCTCTTATTAAAACTAAAGACTTCTGCGGCTTGGGGCAAAAAAGGCCAAACGAATGTATTTAGAGCAAGGGATTAAAGATTTCTCAATGGGCACGACCTCATACTTCGCTCCCTAGGAAGACATTGCTCAGTAGCCCCCGAGGACAGACAAGATGGCGGCGGTGAGTCAAAGCCAAGCTATCACAGGACTGAAAGAAAGAAGCTCTAAGTAATTCGTAACTTCTAAATCGCTTGAAAAAATCTTTCATCTTTGAGATTAGGCGTGATTTTCAGTGAGGTTAGTCTTAATTGTTTTCGATAACTGGCTAAGACTGGTTAAGAAAAGACGCAACGACATGGAGATTTTCTCGGACAAGAAACAGGACACAGTCAGGCACATATCTGAATGCAAACACTATTTGAAATGACTAAAATTCAATTAAATCCATCGTAAGCTCTTGGACTTTTCTAATTTCAAAACAAAAATGATTTTAAAGATTATCCATAGACGAGGAACTCTGGAAGGTTAGGAATGCGTGGACAATATTTCATGGTTCGATCATGGCAGTTTTGAAAGCTTGCTCGTACCACTTGGAAGTAGCCTAGCAAAAATATCAACATGTCAGCAAGCTTGTTTTATAATTGGTTGTTATCAAGCTTTTTTAATTTACACATTTATAAGCGGAATGATTAAGGTTATAAGGTGCTACAAACTTTGTGACTTCAAAGGATCCACAACTACCATGAGTAATTTCTCCACTAGAAGTCGCATCATCAAACGCGTCAGTGACCTGATGTTTTAATACAAAACAGATCTTGAAATAACTAAGACAGTATCCGTATTGCAAAGACTAGCACATGTTCAAGGTTCAAAGGGTCTTTTAAGACCCATGTTTGTTCATTATTGTACATTTTACATTCATTAGTTATCGCCCGTGTGCCGCTACAATCTCATGTGCACACCTTCTTGACTCGCTAAGTTCGGTAACCAGTGTGCATAGGTATCTTTGACTCTCGTGAATTCTTGTCTAGTATTTTGAAACTTCAATCCACGCACGTTCAATCCTGATTTTAAGATTTTGTTGCTTTATTTATTGAAAAAAATTCTTGCCTTCTAAACCGTGAGTGTTTTTTAAATTCTGAATCGTAGAGATAACCGCAATTGCAAGTTTGTTTCCCATTGGAAAACACACTGAAAATGCTGCTTCGTAGTTTACTCATATAGTATTTTAGTAGTCTTTTCTCTGTTTAATTTTTTTCTGGTAAGTTAGAGGTTTTAGTTCTAGCTCTGTCCAGTTGGTTAAGGCTAACGAGGTAAGAAAAGCAGACTAAAGTTGAGTAAACAAAAGGGCCTTAATTCATACTAAACTAGATCATGGTTTGAAGACTAGATCTTCATCGCGTGGACCCTATCAAAGTTAGGACAGGGCCTGTGAGACAAACTGCGATGATTTTTTGTCATTTAAAAAGACTGTTGACTTTTGCTTTACGATTTTAATCGCTAAAGAACAAATTTAGGTTGTTGGCTTCGATGTTTACAACGAATCAAAGTGTTTTCCACTGAAAACCTAGAGAAGGAGTATAATCAAAATACCTTAACTAATGAAGTTATTCAGTATTGAACAGAGTCTTCACTTAATTCTGATTTTGGTCAGTATCAATTTTGTGAAAAAAATAGATCTATCAAGAAACTTAAAACCTTTTTAAAAGTTTGAATGATATTTTCCATATGGAAACGACTTCATTGCTTAGATACAAAACATTCTTTAGTATTTGATTTTGTTCTATGCTTGACACAAGAAGCCATTGTTTATTTTTAGTGAATTTTACGATCCATTTGGTTGACTAAATTCTTGTACCAACATAGCTTATCTAATTCAGTTGGTTTATCAGGCATGCAATGTAGTAAGGGAGCTAGTTCCAGTGGCTTGATTTGTAAATTGCCCCATTTGTTTTAGCTACAACTCTCATACTTTGTGAACCTGCAATTGACAATGACTCTCTCAATGTATCTCCAAATCGTTTTCACGTCATAAAAGAAAAAAATATGGCAAATCTTTCGATCATGAAATTTCACAAAAATCTTCATATTATATAATCATGTGTGGTTTTGCCTCTCATTGTTCTTCATTAAAGCGGAATGGAACCATACAAAATCCCTTACTGACTCCAAAGTTCAATCCTTTAGTGAACTGATATATTCGGTAATCGGCTTTCAGTTTACTGATATATATTTGTTGTATATAATCTCAAAACGTTCGCATGTTGTCAGTCTTTCATTTGTTTCAGTGCATCACGGGGCTGATATTTGGTATCCGTGACTGAAAAACTATGAGTTATCATCACAAGACTAACTAGTGAAAGGCCGTCAATCGAGATCCCCACCAAAGGTCCATAGTTACTTCTGGTGCAGTAGAGAGGAAAGTTATCGTTTTTTGATGAAGATATCAAGATGTATAAAATCTTATCCCTAAATAACAATGTTCAAAATAACATGTGTTAATCAGTATTTTTTACGAGGCTCTGAAAGGGTCGCTCAACTTAGGCCTAAAACCAAACAAGTTGGTATTTACAAAGCCAAATCTTTCACTGCTGGCTTAGCTACCTCATTAACCCAGGTATCTTATTTAGGTACGTGTAAATTGGATCGAGTTTACTTGTCTGTATAGCACTTGTATATTTTGGTTGAATTTCATCAGGTCATATTTTTATTCTCGGATAAAGAAAGACACATTTCTTGTAGGCACTGAAACACGATGATACTTTGAGCTCCTCCCCTTTCCGTGTTCACATGAGTAACGACTTTTCTCGAATGATGAAGATTCTTATTGTCCTTATCAGGATCAAGACATAAAATTGACTCAAAGGCAAGTTATAAGGCTGTCTTCAGTTACATCTAACTACTTCTTTCTCAAACTGCGACTTTAAAGTATATTTAGCAACATTATATGTCCTCCTCGTATGTGGACTCAAAACTTATGATGTTGGTATAATGAAACATTTTGCATGCTAAACTAGTTCATTTATGGTGCATGATATTCTTTAGTATTCTGGTGCACAATAATTCTGACATTCGGAAATTATAAATTAGTTCATGTTAGTCAAAACAATTCAAATCCAAATTGGGCCTAATTCGCCAAATGCCCAAGAAAATCTAACAGGTTTTTTTTGCATGATTTGTTGCTTTACAGATATCATCATTGAAACACGAGAAGGCAAGTTAAACAAGAAGCCCAAGCGCATGCGCACATGCTTCACTCCATATCAATTACAAGTTYTTGAGAACACGTTTGCAAGAACGCATTACCCGGATGTAATGCTAAGAGAACAGCTCGCGTCTTACACGAATCTTGCGGARACACGAATACAGGTGAGTTTGATGATAAATATGGTAGAACACAAGCTGGCAAAACAGATGAATACGAACTTAAAATAATAGTATGACTAGTGAGCTGTGAATTATTTATTGCTAGGAGAGTCGGAGGATTTTTGCGTGGCAACATGATAACTCGGCGATAAACTGATCCCAACCCAGGCGATTAAAAAAAAAAAAACGGGCCTAAACAAATTAGAAAATTAGTATATGTAATAGGACTCCATGCTGTCCAATTAAGAAATAATTGGACGCAGGAACTCCGAGGACTGACAAAATTGGATGAGGCCGTAGGCCGTTGGCAGTCAGGAATTTTTCGAGTCTAATTATTTCTTGATTGGGGAGCATGAAACCCCATTACCTATTAATTAAATAGCTACATAATTAATTCCATATCAACAAGACCTGTCCAATTAAGAAAATAATTGGACAGTTACCTATATGGGATTAATGAGAARCTGTATAATTACTGACTAAACTCGACTAAACTCAACTCCCAAATAAAACTTAGTCGTTCGTGTGGCCATCAACTCTATATTTATATTTGGTTAGCTTACCTTACTTGGAAGTAAACATAGATGGCTTTTTGGTGCTTTTCTCGCCATTTAAAGCTTTAGAATATCTAAAAATATGAATCAAAACTTGCAGATGTTACAGCAAAGAAACACTTAATATTGTCCACCATCTTTAAACTAGCTTGGAAACCTAGCCTTTTAMGAAGGAAGCCCAAAACTTTTAAAACCACAGGGATCCCGACAATATATGTTTGAAACACGTAGGGAGTGCAAAATTATACACTTGAAACATATATACGTATTTGGCTTTTTTTCGATAGTCGYGCTAAATAATCATGCATATATATTTATATTAATAGATGTTTTATGTTTCTATTCACTTGTCAAGAAGGAGTGCCTCAGTTTAGTTTTGGCGTAATGTGTTTACATTTCAGGCCACGGTTCCATATTTACGACCATATCCAYACAAGCTGACCATGCCGTGACATGTAGTTCAAATTTATTTTTTTGACTTGCTTACTTTTTAAGGTGTGGTTCAAAAACCGGAGAGCGAAACATCGAAGGCGTGAAAAGTCTCCAGACAAGCCCCCAAAGGAAACCAGCAGTGCTTTCACAAACTTCGACAACAGAGCCGGCAAAACAGATCCTCTGACTGTCCCGACTTGTGTACGGTCACTGCGGGATACGGCTTTTACAACCAGAAACCCGCAGTACAGCGGAGTGGTTACCGGGCAAATGGGTTACGGCCATCAACAAAACATCCTGGATGTCTCGCAAGTTGCGCCTTTGCCACCTTTTCATTCCCTGGTAGCGTCTYCATGTCACCACTCGGCTAGCACTTCCCATTGCTACTCGTGTGCTTGGAATATTCACTGTCCTCGTTCTCTTGCTCCTGTCTCGTATCCTCTTAACGATGCAGTTCGTGATGGACAGCTCTGCTACTCAGGATCCTTTGACAGCAGCTCTAGGGTAGCATCTCTTTCTATTGGATACAACTGAATTGTTTGCCTGGCTGCATAACATCAAGAAGTCAATTGAAATAGATCAGTGCATTCTCTTTTGCCRTAGTGTGAGGTCTCGAATTCTTACCTATTTTCCTATCTTATATATATWTTTGAATATTTTAGTCTAATATATACATATTTAAAATTTATGGAAGGACCTTTATTTTTAATCAGAAAAGAGGTGGAAACACTGGAGAAAACTGAAATCCTTATATTGCATGTAGGACGCAAGGTGAAAGAAATAGAAAAGGCCATGTGATTTTATCGGTTTAAGGCTAGGAAGAAAGTACCTCCAAGTATGCTTGCTCGTGGTCAACTTAAAATACTGAATACTGACAGCCAAAAGTAACTATCTTAACATAGCGCTCCTAAAATATCAGTAGCGGTATATTCACTACTACAATTTGGTTTTAGTTTTGGAGCTATTCTCGTGCATAACTCAAGATTCTACTTTCACTGGTTTGCCGWTACCAGGTTTTCTCCCCGTTTTGTCTAGCTACGCTCCCTTCACAATAAAACTCTTTTGTCTTCATCCCTAGGGGCCATAAAGTAGATTAATTGGGGTGCCGACTTGGGCTTTTACTTAATTCTAAAAATTGATAATTTAAAATATTGAACAAGTTAAGATAAACCTGAGTTTGCCAATTCCTTGGTCCACTTTTCATAAATAGTAAACGGGTACGTTATATACTGTAAATACACTTAAAATGCTTGTCAAAGCATGATATTTAGAAAGCATTCATAGATTAGTATACGCATCTCAATAGCTGTATTATATATATATAATAGTCTATATACAGCCATTTGCAAAAATTATGGCCGCTTCCAATATATATATACAAGTATATCAAAAGTATATCAAAAATTATGGGATATYATCCCTGATATTTTTTTCGGGTTGCCTATCACTAGGGCTTTCTGGAAAAAAATAAGAATAAAGATATCCCGTCGTGTCTGATATACTTTTGATATACTTGATACTTGTATGTATATTTGAAACGGATATAATTTTTGGAAATGGCTGTATATTCTCATATGTATATTATTATTATCATTATAATCAAATATCTTATTGGTTCAGACCATAGTATATGTCCAAAAGATATGCCAGTATTTAACATCCAATACGTTTGTAGTAACAGTAAAATTGATTATTTTCTATACTAGAAATTTATACAAAAATAAACTCGTGCAATGTTAAAAAGGACACCAAAAGGGGATTTGAAATGAGGCTTGCATCGCAAGTGAACAGAACCAGCCTAAAGGAATGGTTAGCCCATTGTTCTGAGGAAACCCTACAGAAATGACTAAAAAGAATTGTCTAAACTTGTCTTGTGTCATTTAAATTTGCCTTTTTCAAAAGATTCTGGTTGAGTAAAATAGTCATTCGAGAAGAGTGTTTTGATGGGGGAAAATAGACAAAGAAAATTCAGAACATTTGTTATGTAATTGATTTTTCTTTTTAGTTTTTCCACTACTTTCCTTTCATTTTCTCTCTTTTTTTTCCTTTGATTCATTAATTCTATATATATCTCCTATATATCTTCTACATATATCTATATTTTATAGCATTATTTCTTTGTTTAACGGTTGAGCAAGATATACATCACATGAATGGGATATGGTCTGTAATGGGAATATCACGCCCAAGCTAAAGAGGACGTCTAGAAGAAGTGTTTCAAAAAGACATCTATAAAATTATATTGAATAAAGAAAAAAAMGAACAAAAAATACTGAAAAAATAATTGCTTTATCATCACTTTGATCCTGTATCTAATAGACGGCCTTTTTACCTTGGGCGTAATGTTTTCCCCATTACAAACCACGTGTGCGTCATTCCCTAGAGTATCATTTCTTCGTTTAATGAGGCTGGGCATGAAAAGACACATGAATGGATGCAACTCAAACAAAGAATCATATTTTCAAGAGAATGACACCTGTTTTAAAATGGGAAATTACGCCCAAGGTAAAGAGGGTACGTCAATTTTTTTTAAATCACTTAGGTTCCGAAAAACGATAAAATGCATATATATAACAATTCCGCCCACATGAAAGAGCAAGCAACATGAAAGAGCTTCAAGCACAAATACAACAATACTAATCAAGTTTCAGAAGGTTTGATCCTTTTCAAATTTGAACATATGATATGGCCACACTAGTTAAACGCTTTTTGTCAGTTTGACCACTAATCTATCCCGTTATTCGGATTAACTGGTTTTGAAAGTGATGTTTTATCACGCGTATAATAACGGTTTTGAAAGCGTCTATTCTTCACATAGCTATTAATCTAATATTATAAAACACGTGTTTATGATGACAAAACTTAAGTGCCATTTAATTATTGCAGGTACTTGCAGGAACCAGGAACTCAATATGTCAATTATAATCAGCTTAGCATATAAACGTCAATATCAATTAGTAAGTAATCTTATTGTCACAAGTTTTACTACGTGTCCCTTTTGGGGTAACTCCTCCTGAACTAAAGAATATTAATTAGCCAGCATACTAGTCTTAGAGGATGTTACTGGGTATCAAACTGCACCGAAAAAAGACAGAAAACTAAAACTAGAAAGTAATAAACTGACTATTCAAGTAACGGTGTTTTTGAAAATATATCATTGTATAACTATTAATTTTTCTAAAAACCGTTTCACAAAGAGGGCTATTAATTATAGCCGCCCATTCAGAGGGGAACCGGCGCCATTCTACTTAATTTGTCTATCAATATCATTATATCAGTCTCTTGTTGTATTGGCTTGTAAAAGTGTTTGACAGGTATTTGGTGAAGTTTCATTCTTTTAAGTTGTTTGCTAGAAACCAGACTAAAGAAGGCAGAAAGCCGTAACATTTTTTGGCGCCAGGGATGCAGTAGCAAGCATTACTACAGGAACACAGTCTGTTCGCATTCTCCCATACCACCTATTCCAAAATCAGTAATTAAGAGGATATTCACGATATCAAAACATTGCAGGGCAGTAGCCACCGGTACGGTTGGTCCAGTTTCAACCGGACCAACTTTCGGGAAAAAAATATAAGAAAAATAWTAAAAAAATATAAGAAAAACTGAAAACCCCCGAAAACCAGACCAATCAGAAATTTGTGGCCACAGCCCTGCATTGACAGTCTCACATGATGGTTCTTACAGCAATAGCCTGAGGGGGATTTATGTTATGCTCTTTTTGTTTGACGACACAAAAGCCAAATGTATGTTTTTTTACTATAGCCAATCAAATCGGACAYGACACGACACGATCCAACTTTCATTTCCATTTCTCGTACTCCATTAAAGTGCAAATGAACCCTTTGACAATACATTCAGTACTGGTTCTGCATAAAGTAAATAGTTGATTGGTAAAATATTTCTTGATTTAAGTGATGCGTCTCTAAGTTATGAAGGTTTATACTTCCAATATGTAAATGATGGTGACGTCAGGTAAGGTATTTGAGTGTTTTYGTTGTAACTAGTAATACTAAATGCTGGCCATTTTGAAAATAAAAATTTAAAATAGCTTTCATGTAAACCATGAGTAAAATAATGATGCTTTTTAAATACTGTATCTATGAACCAGTTCGATTTTGTATATTTAATTAAGCCTTAATAGACGTCACGCTCATTAGCATATTGAAAGTATAAACCTTCATAACTTAGAAACGCATCACTCAAATCAAGAAATATTTTACCATTCAACTATTTACTTCATGTAGAATCAGTACTGAAAGTATTGTCAAAGGGTTCAYGTGCACTTTAAGAAATGAAGAAAAAAAGTGGCATGCATGCAGTTTGATGATTCCAGAGGTTTTTATTTTTATGAACAGAAATAAGACGCGTATAACTAGATATATTTTTATAWACAACTAGATATATTTATTTATTTTCCAGGGCGCTCCTTGATAACAGCTTTGCTGACGGGCCTACCCCAGAAAAATATGTATCTATTATTATTAGATATAACTACATATGTGATTCCATCATGTGAAAGAGAAACACGCGTGCATACTCACGTCATCAATACCTCTCATCAATGGAACCCGCGTTCATGCAAATCTCGCCGKTGTCTTATGTATGTGTGCGGTAGAGCTGATATTGCTGTTTAATTTCTCTCCTGCGCTTCGAGGGTTTTCCGGATTTTCCGAGTTCTCCGGTTTTCCTCCCTCCGCTAATATCAACTTCTAAATTTCAATTTGAATTTCAGTGGATGAAGAGCCACTCTCATTCTGGCTTAGAACTCCTTTTTCTTATTTCTCACCCCCTCCCCCCTCCCTCCCCGGCCCCCCAAAAAGATACACGATTAGAGTCAGTTTAGGAAAAACAAGACCGCGATTGAACGAAAAGCTCGACAAACGAATGATTGCTATTCAGAGTAGTGTAATGCCGTGAAGACGATTTCTTACCGCTATGCTCTTGATTTGCATCACGTCCCGGACTCTGACATACACCATTTTAAAAATAAAGCTTCCTTGCATGAGAAATAAATTAAATATAGTGAGCAAGTGCTGTGCACGTACAATTAATATAGTTCCCTTGCGATTATTCGTTTTAAGGAAACTTATAATTTATGGTTATAGTTGCTTATAGTTTCTTATAAYTTAATAAGATATATACTCGTATCGCGATTCACTAAATAGTCTCATATTTTTGAGACGACACAATATTTTGTGGTATTGTCGTTTCAAAATTAAGGTTTCTGATTGGCTAACGCGCGACGAAAAGGAAAGCTTGAGCGCGCGCGCGTCAAATTTTTACGCTTGTTGCTTGCGCCGTAGCGCGCGATCGTAAGAAGAATTTCGCTCTTAATTAAAGAAAATCGGTCATTTTCTTTTCTTTTTTGTGTGTTAAATTCTTTAGAATCGCGATACAAAACTAATTACGATTTTGAGACGGCGTTGGAAKMAAAWATATATATCCGTCGCTTCTCGACTCCGCCCAATACCGAATTTATTTTCTCTCAACTATAGCAGTCAATATTTCGTGGTATTGTCGTCTCAAAATCGTAATTAGTTTATATTATGTAATTTGTCTAATTTGACTCTAACTATGGACAGTTTCTATGTGGGGCATCTCCTTCTTGAATGATCACGAAGCCATGAATAAAATTCTTACAAAAAAGCACTTTATGATTGTTCATTTGCGTTGTCGATTGTTTCGGTGATACGTCACGTTGGGTTGCTAGGTCGAATCGACGAAATAGACAGAACTTATTCTAAGAGGCGTGTATCAAAACACTCTTAATTGTCTCAGGTTTGAATGGGATTGCTAAAGTGGCGTGATTTCTGGGGTATTGTAAGTTAGAATGACCTTAAGGTTGGTAGAAGAAAGCTATCAAAACATACAGCTATAACACCGAAAAAACGTAAACAGTAAATTAACCCTTCAAAATCAAACTGTCCAATAAAGTCTATTTTTGTCATTTATAACTATTCACAACTTAAACATAAATTTATCATATATTTTCTATGCTATCTGCTTTCGGCATTGGCTAAGAAATAGGAGAATTATCAAACACCGTTGGTGCACGATTTGCCCTAGTCTCGTCGTTCTTTATATTTGCTCTCAAGCTTGCTATCCGACAGACATACTCCTGCACAAATTTTGGGCATAAGTTTTGTTCTTAAAATCTTTATATCTACAGCTTCTTTTCGGTTCTTCCTTGTTACTAGGCAATGACTCGGAATCATTGAAATTAATTCACAATGCGTCATGGAAAACTATCTTTTGAATCAAACATTTTCCAAAGTTAAATTAAGTCTTTGTATGAACGAGGATTAATTTTCGAGCATCATTTTACTACTCTTTTGATGTTCGACAGCTATAGAACT